GTGTGTGTGTGTGTGTGTGTGTGTGTGTGTGTGTGTGTGTGTGTGTGAACCTGTTGCCATAGATTAGGAAAGTAGTGTTTTTAAAGCAAATGTTCTACTAGATCTTCGGTTTCCTCATATGATTTCGACTGTAGCCGTTTTGATATAACTTTTTTGCAGTCTCTATAACTTTTGGCGTATATTTCTAATTCCTTATTAATCAAATTGTACAAATGGGCCGATCGTTTGCTGAATTGTCTGTTTGCAAATGTTGTATTTACTTTAGGTACTTGTACCACAATGTCTTTCCTTCTCCTCTTCGAAATATTTAGATCATATTTTGGAGATCTATCTGAGTACAGTTTGAGGGATGTAGAGTTTCCTTACAGTGGCTAAATTTGATAGTTGATACAAACTGCTAGTGGCAAATCGTCTTTTTTTAAAATACATTATTTTAAGCAAATTGCGTTGCGCACGCTCCAACCCGAGAAAACGAGTTTTAGCAGCTCCACCCCATATTGAATAACAGTTATGCCTAGCTGTTCTTGCTCAATTATTTTATATGCCCGTAAAAATATACATAATTTCAATAAGAAAGAAGATATCCATAATATTAACCTTTCGTTTGACCACGATTTCGTTTAACCAAAAGGTAAACGACTCTTTTATGGGGAACTGTATACGTTTTTACAATAAGATTCCGGAGCATATATTAAGATTATCATTTCCTAAGTTAAAAAACTACATTAAACATACTTTGATTGAAAAGTCATATTACAAAATTGAACACTACGTGTTAGATAAAGATGTATGGAAAGACGACACGGCTCCAGAATCCACACAAATTTGATTCAAATTAAGTGTATTCCATTGGATTTAAGTTTATTTGAAAAGAGCAATCCCTAGAGGTTCTTGCTCGTTCTCCTCAGGGAAGTCAGCGTAGTGAACGAGCAGTAGCTTAAATGTGACGTTGTCAAGTGTAAATTTATTTTACCTATGCAATAAATTATCTTTGACTTTGGATTGAGACGACAATTTATCGTTTCACGGCACCCGCCATGTCGTTTGCAGATATGAGACAACGATAAATAAAACGTAACGATTAGTAGCTGCGATTATCTGTCAACACATTTTTATCGTGACGTATTATTTATTGTCAACGACCGTTCTAGCTCTTCCTATTGTCTTGACAGTCTGTCGTCGTAACGTCAAAAAAGTCGTGAATGACAGTTAATACATGTGAATAACTTCATTTAAACCTACGACAATTTAAACTACACGACTATCTGTCGTCACGTCATAGTGGAAACGCGCCCTTAGGTTATCACGGTTGACCTGTATGTTGTAGTGGATTCAATTTTAATAGTTAGTACTTGAATCCAATATTACAGACGGTATGTGATTTATGCCTTTGTTATCCTTCCTATTCTCGCGCAAGGTCTGTGAGACCGAAAGTTTAAGTATGTTGTATAGTAACATATCATTGTAAAATTAAGTTAAATATTAAAAGGAAATGTGTGAAATTGTACCAAGCAAAGTTTTATTCAAAATATATTTTTATTAGAGATAGTCTTTTATTACAGTCATTGGTAAGTTTCAAATTTCCTAAAGAATTTTGAGAGCCACAAAAACTTGAACTAACATATACTTGTTTGTTATATCGTATAATCGTTCGTTCCGTGGCATAGTTGATATAGCGTTTGGAAGGTAAGCTAGAACACGTCGGTTCGAATTCGGCCGGATCGAAAGGATTTTTTTCTGAGTGTTCGATCTTTGTATTTACAATTATAACAAACTGGTGTAGTTATTTCACAAAAAATAATTGAATATGAATTCAATAAAATTTAAAATATACTTTTCAACATAAAAGAAACTCCGAAATGTCATAGAATAATATTTAACATTTTAAAAACCATAAGCTAAATAGCATATTGCGTACAAAAATATATTTTGCTCAAAAGTACTTCTTACTGTCATCGATGGAGCATTTTTATTCCACTTAGTTTGAGTATCTTTGCCTAGAGTAGACTAGAAACTTCTCCTTACTTTCAGAACTATCTCCTACTCTGTGTCATTTCTTACTTGCTGCACTTTTTAACACACATTGTTGTTTTCGCCCTCATAATTGGAATCAGAGTCATTCTCTTCCAAAAACCTTCTGCATGCCTTCCTCATACATATTGAGGTTATAAAATATAACCTAAAATAATTTACAATTTGTACATAATGTAAACTAAATAATAATTGAAATTAATACATAACTACGGGAATTACTAAAAACATTTATTATCTAAAACTGCGACACCTATAATTTACCATGCCGGACTACCATGCAGAGGTCTTGGGTTCGATTCTCAGGCCGGGAGAAATATGTGTATGGCCTACATTTATTTCTCTCGCGACACAGGGTTTCGCTGGTGCGGGGCTATGCTGAGTACTATACTATACTATATAATATGCTATACTTTAACTACCAAATATTAAAAACTGACAGATGCGACTACAAAACCGGGACGATAGACGACGTGTGCACGAATGAATACTCCTGTTACGCTGAAATGAAGAAGAAGCAGTGAGCCCTAAGCTCTAACGTTTTCCGTTTCAGAAAAAACGCGACAAACGATAATCGTCGGTATGAGAAACCAATGCGAGAGTATACGAAGATGAATAAATAAAGACAGTTCGCACGTGACAACTAACATAGTATTATCTCAAAAATGGCGTCATGTTATATTTTATCTCAAAATTGCGTTATAAAATCAATAATTTTTCTCCAAGATTTCGCTATATTGAAGTGTCATTCATATACGATTTAATTTCAAAGTGACAAGACAATACTGTCGCTTTGAAACTAAATAGGTAGGTAATATTAATATATATTGAAGCCATTTTGAGATAATACTATATTAGTTGTCACGTGCGAGTTCTGTAATTTTCTTGGCATCAATTCTAGTATTGGCAATAAATGAACATCGCATGTAATATTTTCTGCGATTACATGAAACTGTAATTATTAACTCCGTCTGGCGCTTATTTGACTAGAAAATGATCCAGTAATTACCAATTGCAATTTACATTTTGATAAATGTACAGCAGTTGATTAATCATACTACGGACGCGTGGCAATACGTCAGCATACACGAGTTTGTTTGATTTGGGTTAATTACAAGTAAGAGGAGCGACAATATATCGAGGTACACACTTATTACGAATTTCTGCGTCGCAGTTGGCAGTTATAGGATAGTTTGCGGTGAATCAATATCACTACAGATCAAATATTAACTAAGTTATTAGACGTTCTACAAATGCGGTTGGCGGGATATAATATCCTACAACCTCTAAGTTCGCGATCCGTTTTAATCTTGGGTTAGTATTTTATAATTTTAATCATACAATGTATTTATAATTATCATAATTTTAAAGATAATGAGTACAGTTGTTGTTTGAACAAGTCATGAGTATAGGGTTTAAGTAGCCGTGTGGATTACCTGTCAGTAAGTCCGAAATGACATTTTCCAGAAGTAACATTTGCTCGAATTTTCATAACCTCGAAGGTAATTTTGAGAGGAAAATGTTTCTTCTTCTAAACCTAACTTAACCTAATCTAATCTTGTCTTTGCGACAAACATCCAACATATCCTGTAAGAACAACGGTTTCGTTATAATTCGGTTTTCCGTGTAATGAAAATTCGAACAAACGTTTTTCGGAAACAAAAAAATTCGAGTTTGTGTGATAGGTTACCGGCCATGTGATGTTAAATTTTAACGTTAAGGATTTTTTCTTATAAATATTATGTGAAGGGACGACGCAATCGCGCGGTCTTTCTCCATTTCCTTCCAACGTCTTTACAAGTGCACTCAATTGCGTGATTGCTGCATCACACGCGAGAGAGTGTCTGTGTAAAGCCCGCTGTTCTATTATCATATCACAAAACACGTATTAATTACTTTGCGAGTGCCAACGTCTCACGATGTGCTTCTTATCATTATACTTTTATTGACCACTACACATCGCTGCTATTTGTGCTCTTCTGCGATAAAAAAATTATCAAACAATATCATGTAATCTAATTCACAAGATACT